ATTTTATCAGATATGAGTATTGCTACCCCAGCTCTTTTTGCTTTCCATTTGCTTGGAAAATGTTTTTCCATTCCTTCACTTTCAACCTATGTGAGTCTTTTGTTGTGAGGTGGGTCTCTTGTTAACAACATATACATGAGTCATGCTTTCTTATCCAATCTGCTACTCTGTGTCTTTTTATGGGAGCATTCAATCCATTTACATTTAAGGTGATTATTGATATGTACTTATTTATTGCCATTTTTGTTTAGTGTGGTTCTATTTTTCTTCCCATTTCTACTGATAATTACAGCAGTCCTCTTAACATTTCTTGCAGTGCTGGTTTGGTGCTAATGTATTCCCTTAGCCTTTTTTTTTTTTTGTCTGGGAAGCTCTTTAGTTGACCTTCTAATTTGAATGACAGCCTTGGTGGGTAGAGTAGTCTTGGATTCAGATCCTTGTTTTTCATGACCTTGATTACTTCATGCCATTCCTTTCTGGCCTGTAGTGTTTCTTGTGAGAAGTTAGCTGAGAGCCTTATGGGGTTTCCTGTGTAGGTAACCTGTTGCTTCTCTCTTTGTCTTTAATTTTTGGCATTTTAATTAGTATGTGTCTTGGTGTGGGCCTGTTTGGGTTCTTCTTACTGGGGACTCTCTGTGCTTCTTGAACTTGAATGCCTTCTTCCTAAACCAAATTAGGTAAGTTTTCTGTCACTATTTTTTTTTAAATATATTCTCTATCCCTTGCTCATTTTCTTCTTCTTCGGGGACTCCTATGATGCGAACATTATTACGTTTCCAGTTGTCCCACAGTTCTCTTAAGCTGTCTTCCTGTTTTTTAATAGTTTTTTTCCTTTTGTTTTTCTGATTGGTTGATTTTTTCTACCCTGTCTTCTAATTCACTGATCCGGTCCTCAGCTTCCTCTACTCTGCTTTTTACACCTTCCAATGTTTTTTTTCATTTCTGATATGTCATTTTTTATCTCTTCTAGATGGTTTTTAATTTCCAATTGGCTTATTTTCAGCGTCTCTATGTCTTTACTCATGCTGTTGAGCTTCCTCAAGATCATGGCTCTGAATTCTAGCTCTGTTAACATGCTCAATTGCTCCACATTGATCTCATCTTTGGTGGACGTCTCTTGCGCTTTCATTTGGCTTCTGTTTCTGTGTTTCACCATTTTGGCTATCACAGTGGGCTTTGGAGCCTGTCAAGTTTTCCCTGTGGGTGTTGGTGTTCTGCTTTTTGTAGCTCCCTCTCCTGGGTTTAGATGAGCGAGGGATGACCCACGTTAAACACCACTGTCAAGTCTTAATTTCCTGGTTAAAGTTGCTAGCCCAGGAAAGGTACTGTTATCCTCTAGCTTTTTGCCTGGAGGCTAGCAGTCGAGGTTACTTGATGAGTTTTGAGTTGTCAGTTGATTAAAAAACTCCCTCAGGTGCTCAGCATAAGGGGATTTTCCAAGGGTGGGGCAGATGCTGGTTGTTAATGAGCTTCAATTAGCAATTCAATGGCCCACAGGTTGGTTTGGATCTCTGAGGGAGGGGCTGCTGCCTCTCCCCAGAGCCCTGGGAAGGAGCAATATGACCACCTCCTGTGTGGCTGCCACTCAGCAAAAGCTCTGAGTGTCCTCCAAATCCCGAGTGTCCCGACACAGTTCCAGTCCAGTCTTCGTCCCTCTGCCAGAGCCCAAGGTGAGTGGCTGTGGCTTTTTTAGCCTCTGTCCTTGCTCTGCGCTGTGGAGCTTCTTAGGGGTTTAACCCGAGGGCATTGCTCATAGCTGAGGCTGCTGCCAAGCTGCTGACTGTGGCCTCCCAGCCCCCATCTCGCACCATTGGAAGCCTACCAGGATCGAGTCAGTGTTCCTAGTTATATGGTCCTCATAAGGTGCTTTTCTGTTGGTTTTTCCCATTGATTTGTCTGTGTTATAGTTGTAATTCCAGTTTTGTCCTGGGAGATGGTCTGTGCAGCTTCTGTTCACTCCGCTGCCATTTTGGAATCTCAAGGCATTTTAATGATAACGTGTCTTGGTTTGGGCCTCTGATTCTTCTTACTTCGCACTCTCTGTGCTTCTTGAATTTGTATGACTTTTTCCTTTACCAAGTTAGGGGAATTTTTGCCACTATTTCTTCAAATATATTCTCTAACCCTTGCTTATTTTCTTCTTCTCTAACTCCAATGATGTGGATGTTGTTACATTTCATATTGTCCCACAGTTATTTAAGCTGTTGTTCTGTTTTTCAATCCTTTTTTTTTTTCTTTGCTATCTGATTGGATGATTTTTTTCTACCCTGTCTTCTAATTCACTGATCCTATGCTCAGCTTCCTCTTCTCTGCTGGTTATTCCTTTCAATGTATTCTTTATTTTTGCTATGTCATTCTTCATTTCCGCTTTGTAGGTTTTCATTTTCAGTTGGTTGATTTTCAATGTTTCTGTATCTTTACTCGTGCTGTTGAGGTCTTTATTCATGCTGTTGACCTTCCTCATAATCATTACTTGAATTCTGCCACTGATAACTTGCTTAATTCCACTTAATGTATCCCTTCTTCTGTAGAATATTCTTGTTCTTCCATTTTTTATTTGTTTTATTGTTTCATTATCTTGGCTGTCTCAGAGGATTTTGGAGCCTGACAAATTTTCCCTGTGAGTGTTGATGTTTCGCTGATGTGGCTCTCTCTGCTGGGTTTTGATGAGTGTGGAAGGGCCCACATTAAACACCAATGTCTAGTCCTACTTTCCTGGGTAGATTTGTACGCCAAGCAAAGATTCAGTTATTCTATAGCTTTTTCCTGTAGGCTATTACTCTCAGTTACTTAATGAGCGTCCGATTGTATCCATTGGCTGAATGAAAAATCCCTCAGGTGGACAGGGTAAGAGGATTTTCAGAGTGTGAGGCTATTGCTTCCTCCTGGGTAAAAGTTGCTTTGATAAGAAGGTGTTTTCTGCAGTGTGGGTTATTGGCTTATACAGGGGTCCATTCCTCTGCCTTCACAGATCAATCACCAGAGCCACAGGGTGGTATTAAATTCTCGAGGGAGGGGCAGTTGCTTCTTACCTAGGCTAAAACTGCTCTGATAGAGCTATTTGACAGAGATGGCTACTGAAGCCATGAGCGACAGTTTTATCATAGGAATTCAGGCCTCAGCTTTCACATCAAGTCCTCAGAGCCAGGACCCCCCACACTGAGAGCCTGGTCAAATGTCATGTCTTTTGGAGGTATTTTTCCCCCTCCTTGCTTGCTGTTAGTCTCTAGCTGTTATTGAGCCTCAGGTTGCATTTCTCCAGCCGAGTGGTGTTAAATTCCTGAGGAAGGGACCATTGCTTCTCCCCTGGTTCAGGGAATGTGCTCTTTGAGTAAGATGGCTACTTTCCTATGAAGGAGTGATTCATCATAAAACACCTGCTGGCCTCCTACCCAGCTCTCCACCCAGTGCCATGAATCCCTGGCTCTCTTCACATAGTTCCATTCCAGTTTGCCCTCCTTCTGCCAGTGCCCAAGGCGAGAGGCTGTAGCTGTAATTTAGTGCACTGGCCCTTCAGGGTAATGTCAGTTTTCCAGTGCCTCTTCCTGCTGGATAAAACCTCTGTTCTGTGTTTTTCTCAACCAGGTATTATGTGAGTGCCTTTCCCTGTTCTGCCACTCTGTGCTAGGAAACTAGTTATGGGTTTTAACCCTCACCTTCTCAGAGGAAACTGCTCACAGCTAAGGCAGCCCTCAGCTGCTGCCTGTGGACATCCAGCAAGCCCTCTCATGCCTCCGCAGCTCCTACCAGTCTCTATTTGTGGTCCTCTTTACATTCCTGGTTATAAGGGTTCTCTCCAGCTGCTCTTCAGTTTTTGTTTTTTTGTTTTTGTTTCCCAATGACTTGTCTTTATTTTAGTCGTAATTCCTGTTTGGTCCTGGGAGATGGTGTGTTTAGCTTCCATTCACTCTGCTGCCATTTTAAATCCCCTGTGTCATTTTTCACAGACCTCCGTTATGCCTTGTTAAGGCCTGAATTTATTATATATGTAGTTGTGATAATTTTTCACCATTTTCAAAATAAGCTGCCCTCTACTTTCATCTCTCTTCTCATTGCCCAGTTTCCTCTTGCAGTGCTAACATAGCCCTCTGTAACCCATGATGGCAAGGCCCACTTGGAAGCTCTCTTTGCTCTGAGGCAGCTATAGTTGATTACAAATGGCCCTTCTCAAAGGGCTCTTCCAGGACTTTCTACATCCGAATTCCGAAAACCTTCTCGGATCCATACATAGCAACTTTCTGTGCCTTTGGTTATTTTAACACAAAATACTTAATATGCAATGTTTGTTTTTTTATATTTTTTATACCAAAAAGAGTACTCAAACTTAAAAAGATTAGAAGTTTCCAACTTGGAATATTCAAGTTATCTTTTGCAAAGGATGTTTTAATCAATGTTAAGATTTGGACTTGGAATCAAAAGTTACAGTTTTTTTTTTTCTATGCTGTATCCTAAAAGTTGGACAAGCTGTCTTTGTCTTTTCTTTATTTTAATTTGAGTGATTGTACTCCAGTTTCAAAGCTTATTTTTTGTGATACACAGCCATATGTAAAAACCAGAGTTGTGAAACTTGAGTCAAGATAGACATAGGATAAGGCAGTGGTGATGCTATAGCTGATGTGGTCCCTGCCTAGTCAAGAATGAGCCCATCTTAGCAGGGGAGGGCGTTTTGTGGGGGGTACTGGTCCCTTGGAGTACATCCTGAGTGTATATTGCTAGTTGCTTGCTAAAAGAATGTATTTTGATTATATATATATATATATATATATATATATATATATATATTTTTTTTTTATTTATCATTCAAGATAAATGTGTAACTTCAAACAAAGTAATATTCAGGTGAAATTATCCTTTTCACAGTAATTTTAGAAGAGTGTTTTGTACATGATGAGTGTTTGCTTCCTCTGGTTTTTAATAACAGGAAATGAAATGGTGTCTAAAATACACAACCCGTAATGTGATTATTTCATTTTTGTCATTCTGTACTTTTTATCAACCAGGTTGGGCTCTAGGCGAACATGGAGAGTGGGCCAAATACAGCAATTTTGATGTCACCACTCGCGTGCCCCTGATGTTCTATGTTCCCGGAAGGACAGCTCTGCTTCCGGAGGCAGGCGAGAAGCTTTTCCCATACATCGACCCTTTTGATTCCATCTCAGAATTGATGAAGCCAGGTATACAATATGCTGAAGTGATGTTGCTTGACAGTAAAAGCTTCTTTAGTTTATATAAACCACCTTAGCAATCATAGCCTAATGGCTTACCCATTCCACCTTTCTGTTCAGTGTTGGTATTACTACACATGTTTCCTGAGTACTTTCCATGCTCTGGGTCAGGGAGGAGTGGCAGGACCAGGGCCAAGAAGTATGACCCCTGTCCACAATGAGCTATGAATGGCAGGGGAGGTTGGAGACAAAGGAGCAGGAGGCATCCCTAGGATGGGGAGGGCTATCATAGAGGTGACAGACAACAGCAGCCTACTCCAGAGCTCAGTAGCAGACTTGGCCAGGGCAGAGGCTGTAACACCGCCCCCCCCCCCCCAAGATATACACACACAGATGAGCAGAACTCCATAACCTACACACATCTAGCAAGGACTTGGCTCTATGTGAGGGAGACATTTGCCATTTTGGCAGCTCATTAGTCTACGAAACCACTAGAATTGTAACATTACCAGGTGATTCTCCTTCTGCCCTCCCCAGCCGTTAAGGTCAAGTTTACTTTGACTACATGCCGGTCCTTCCAAGCTTTGAAAACAGCATATCCTTCTCTTCTCTAAGATGAAATCTCTAGTCCTTTAGCGCTTCCTTTCAAGATAGTGTTAGACCAATGGTTATCTTGGTCTCTGTCTTCCAAAATGTTCCAGTTTGCGAAAGCACTTCCAGAAATGTCTCTTAGACAGGATCCCCTCCCTGCTGCACAGGCTTCCCTGGATGATATTTTTGTGAGTTGTCTCCTGACTTGATCTGCTCAGTGTAGAGATGAGGTGTGTACTTTAGACAACATTTACTCTTTTTGGAGTCTTTTCTATATGGAGTCTGCTAAAGCAGGTTGCCCCCTTTCTGGAGTTCTGCATTTAATACATCTTTAACATCTACATTCTGAACTTTATATCGATTCCTGTTTAAAAATTTTCCTGGTTTTGGACCATCATTCTAGCCCTTCTGGATCTTTCCAAGTTTGCTTTCTACTGCCCAATTATATTTTCTGTACATTTGATTTTTGTGTGCTGCATGCTTTGTCTGTCATGTCATTGATCAAAAGTTTAAACAGTTTAAAGGTATGATTATAGTACTTTGTTTACTTGGAGAAATCTGACAGGTTGAGAATTTTTTTGAAACTTTTGTTGGGAGTTTTACGGCAACTTATAAATTCATAAAACTGCACTGTCATTTATTTTATTTCCAAATTGTATCTCTAGCCTATATCTCTTTCCTGAACTTTGGACTTGGATTTCCAATAGCCTGTCCTATATAGCCAATCTCACATGCTCAAAGTTGAACTTCTGACCTTTCACCTCAAGCCTTTCATTTGGCACCCTTGCCCTCCTCAGGAAAGTGCAGTAGTCTCTCATGCCAAAAACATGTAGAGTCATTTCGACCCCTGTCTTTGTCTCATATTCTATATACAATATGCAGTGTGTCAGCAAGGCTGTCACTCTCTGTTCAGAATCTGTCTATAATATTTCTCACCATTTCACTGCTACCACTGTGAACCATTTCTTGCTGGATTACTGCAATAGCTTGCTAAGGTCTCCTGGGTGAATCCTTGATCCCCTAGGGTTTTGCTTCCTCAGAGTAGCCAAAGTGATCCTGTTAAAACCCAACTCAGATTGTGGTATAGCCCTATTCTGGAGCCTCCTATGCTTTCCTGCCTGACTCTGAGCAAAATGTCCTTACAATTGCCAACAGTGTCTGATGTGATGTGTTCTCAGTCCCCATCATCTTCCTAACCTCATTGTTTTACAAGTGTCCAGGCCAGTTGTCTTGTGTAATGGCCTAAATGAAATTTTCTGATTGCTTTCTCATGCCTAGATTCAGGGTAAACATTTTTAACACATACACTACATGTGAGGTTGTGCTACCATTGTATCACATTGGGGCACTTACTAGTACCGTGCCATTATTGGTGATGCCAGGTTTGATCACCTGGTTAAGGTGGTCATGTCAGCCAGGTCTTGATATAGTAAAGATAATCTGTGGGATGGCACTATGCGACTCAGAATATCATGTTCCTCAACAGACTTTTACCTAGTGATTTGGGCCTCCATAGATGATCCTTGCTTGAATTAGTGATAAACTTGTGGTTTCAAAATTTCAATAGTTTTAAAAAGTGCCAAGAGGCTGAGGGCAACTTCATTTTGCATCCTGTTGGGTGAGGTGCTGAGATGGCATTGTTATTAAAGAAAAAAGACAAACTGTGGAGCCCAGATGGGCTCCTTTACTCATTCTGTCTGGCCGTGGCAGGGTTCTATAATGTAACGCATTCTGCTGGATCTTTTTCTCCTTCAGGCCGGCAAGTCATGGACCTTGTGGAGCTTGTCTCTCTCTTCCCCACACTCGCAGGACTTGCAGGATTGCATGTTCCACCTCGCTGCCCTGTTCCCTCATTTCATGTGGAGCTGTGCCGAGAAGGCCAGAGCCTTCTGGAACATTTTCGATTTCATGACTTGGAACAGGATCCGACCCTTCATGGTAATCCCCATGAATCCATTGCCTATAGCCAGTATCCCCGGCCTGCAGACTCTCCTCAGTGGAATTCTGACAAGCCAAGTTTAAAAGATATAAAGGTCATGGGATATTCCATACGCACGATAGACTATAGGTTTACTGTGTGGGTTGGCTTTAATCCCCATGACTTTCTGGCAAACTTTTCTGATGTCCATGCAGGAGAACTATATTTTGTAGATTCTGACCCTTTGCAGGATCATAACATGTATAATGACTCCCAAGGTGGAGACCTTCCCCAATCATTGATACCTTGAGTTGTACCAACTACGGAGAGCATATATATAATGTGCTTCCTTCTGGCTGGTGACAGAAGGAGTTAGAGCTGGTTATTTTGTGATTATCCTTAATATTGGAAGAAGTCCAAGGGATATGCAATCAAAACATGCATCAAAAATTTGGCCTAAGAATATATAACAGCTAGACATTTTGATTTTGTCTTTATTAATTTCTAATTGTTAATTGAACTGAGGCTTGGCTGAACCTTTTCTTTCCTTTTTATTTGAACAGTCATAGCTTATTTATAAAATGAATAAATAGAGAGTGAGTAAACTAAAATTGTTATACCTTTAGATATCAAGACCATAATAACCAAACATAACACTATACTCAAGAAATAATTTAATTATTTGTGAAATTTAGTGCATTTCAAAAACTAAGCATATATCAAATCAGATTTGATACCAAGTTTCTGTTTTTTTTTTGTTTATAATTTAATAATTTGTCTTATTTAGCCCAATATAGCAAAATGATGTCAATGCGTAATCTAGATTTCTTTTTAAAATGTGAAGTTAAATAATAATGCTAGATGCTAAGGTCTTAAAATATTACCTTAAAGTTTTGTTTCTAAGATCACAAAACTTCAATATCCAAAGATAAAATAGATATGAAGTGATTAATGTGGAATTTCTACATCAAATAATAAATAATGCTCAGTTAACTAGAGGCATGAGATGTATGAGAAATTCAGTTAAAAATTTTTAGAGACTTTCTGACCCAAATAATAATTTGTTAGTAAATAATGGCCCGTGAACCCAAAGACCATCTATTAAAAGACAGTTATTTACAATGGAAAAGCATAACTATATCCATAAATTGAGCCACTCAAAACCTTATTAGTGTTCTTATGCAAGAGTATTTTGTTGCAGACATTCATTTATCCAGGAGGCAAGAAATATTTTACTTTTAATTAATGATTAAATAAAATATTAATTTTATTAAATTATAAATTACTTTGAGAGTTGTGAAAACTTTTTATTAGTACAATATTAGGTCATTTCTACTTCCCGAGAATATAGTTCTGTGTTTCCTGAATATGAAAGTCACCAAGGCAGGTGGTAGTGTTAAGCTTAGCCTCATATTTACATGTTGAAGCTGTTTTATTATCAGTAGTCATCAGAAGAGTCAACCGCTTTCTAAATAAACATCTAATGTAGTCCTGTATCAAAGTGAGTAATTTTTAGTATTTCTGTCTGTTTAAATGCTTCATTGTTTAAAGGAATGTGAAACAAAATACAGCAAATTAGGGTAAGTTACTGTAGTATATTAAATGGTAACCAAAAAGGCAAGATAGTATATTAAAAGATTATTTTAAATCAGTAAACTTTCAGCAAGTTTTTTTATTTTATTTTACTGACTAGCTTATAACAGAGATATACATGGTAGCACAACTATTTTCTAAGTTATTAAATGACTTAGTATTCTAGCAACAATTTCTACTTCAGGAGTCAAGGCCTTATTTATCTCCCCTGATCCTGAAGCTCGTCTCTCTTGTGGAAGCCTCAGCTTTATATGTAAACAGTTTCCCTCTGCCTTTTCTTTCTCCACTTCATCCTCTTATGGCTCTTGTCACTTCCACTAAGATTTTTATAATCCACTCTGTAAATTTCTCATGACATATTTTCTGTATTTAGCTTTATCTCTTACTCCACAGTTATAGTGAGTTTTAACACAGGGTTTTATTTCATATTCATTTGTTGCCCCTGTTGGTTCTAACACATACACTCATTCATTTTTATCACTTTATTTCTTGAAGCACAGTTTTATTATTAAAAAAATCTCCAAATTCTTCTCTTATTGAAGTCATAAGCTGAACTATGCCAAAAGAGAGTGAAGTGACAAGCATGTCGATGTGCGCCTGCCATTTTGGCAGTAATTTGCCTGGGTTACCAAAGCCACATCTGGGCCTTGCATGTTGATCTGTCTCTGCTGGAAGTGCTTGTTTTATCTTTGCTACATAAGAGCATAGCCGCAGAATGCTTCAGATCTCCTTAAGTTGTAATTTTTCTTGGCCTCCCTTTACAAATCTCTCCTTTTAGAAGCAAAGGCTACATTTCACGTTCAGTGCCATGCTCTTCTAAATCATCATATGGGTCATGGTTACTTTTTTGTTTTTGATACCGAACCCAATTTAGAGCCACTTTTGTTTTCTTTTGCATGTCCCCAACACACAGTGAGATGAGCAGCCACTTCTGGTTTTTAGACATTGAAGCTGACCATATTCCTTATCTTGACTTAGTTTAGGTAAACCACATCTTTCTTTTTTTCACACAACCTTTATCTAATCTCACTGATCTGTACATCTTTTATTAATGGTTCTTTAGTCACTTTATTTGTAGAAAGTCCCATTTCACTTGACCAGAGGTTATTTTATACAGTTCAGTAGAAACCAGAACAAGTGATCCCAGAAATTTTTAATGGTCCTAATTCAGTGCCTCACAAATATGAAGGTATATCAGAGAACCACCTCAAGGGCTTATTAAAATCCAATGTGCTGCCCAGCTGGCATGGCTTAGTGGTTGAGCATTTACCCATGCACCAAGAGGTTACCAGTTCGATTTCTGGTCAGAGCACATGCCCAGGTTTTGGGCCCAATCCCCAGTGGGAGGCATGTAGGAGGCGGCCATCCAGTGTTCTCTCTCATCGATGTTTCTATTTCTCTCTCCTTCTCCCTTCCACTCTCTCTAAAATCAATGAAGAAAAAAAAAATTTTTTAAACCTAGTGTGCTGGGCCCCACCTGCAAAGGTTCTAATTCATTGCATTTGGGTGAGGTCTGAGAATTTGCATTTCTTACAAATCATGCTGCACCTCTAAAGACCACACTTTGAGAACCACTACCCCATGTGTGTGTTGTCCAGTAGCCATTAGGCACATGTGACTATTTAATTTGAAATTAGTTAAAATGAAGTAAACATTTCAAAAGCAGAATCTCAGTTGCACTTGCCATATTTCAAGTGTTCAATAGCCACATGTGGTTGGTTTGTGGCTACCATATTGGACAACACAGACCTAGAACCTTTCTGTCATGACAAAGTTGACTGAATGGAGCTGCTCTAGATTAACTCTCAATCTGAGCTGGATTTGGCAAGTTCCTCTTTTGGGCTGATTCTGTACCCTGGGTTTGCTTGCAAAGCCATGTCCAGAGGTGAGTGAAGTATGTTTTGTTTAAGTGTAGTATAGGGAGTTCACTCTGGCAATCAGCCTCTTTTTCTCCACTCCCATAGCCATTGCCTCAGCCCTTTTCACTTCCTTCCCAAATAGTTTACCCACCCCTCCTCTTTCCTCCCTGGTCCCTAAAGAATCCATATGTCTTCCTGAAATCCCTCTTTGATCCTGCCCTTTGAGAACACCGTTAGTGCCTACTACTGGGTCTACACAGACCTCCGCTGAGCAGTCAGAGTCTTCCCTGACTCCACAAAGTCCCTTTCCTCGGTTGACCAGTTTACATACTGGTCCCTCACTCTCCTTTGCCAATTCCTGCCTCCCCATCCACCCCTAGGTTTGCCCCTCCTCCCTTTACCATCCATTCATTATCATTCTTCAAACCCTGCTCCCATGCTCCCACCTCCAAGGGGCTGAGGTTTTGTGACTGTCTAGACTACATCATGGAATGAAATGAACATCACTAAAGAATCTTGTGGTCCCCTTACTTATAAAAGGTATTTTTCTTGATCATAAACTTGTGTTAATCATAGAAAAATTGAAAGAAAGAAATATAGTAAAAGGTAAGAAAATGCATCAGTATTTTACCCCAAGATAGTTATTTAATATCTTGTCTTATTTGGGGTGTGAATTTTTATTTGATTGTGATCATACTGTGTGCTTTATTGTGCAATTTTGTATTCTTGTTTTTTCCACTAAGTAATGTGGTTATTACAGATTTTTGCAAAGATGCTTCATACTGGTGGGAATATATTTTATTGTGTAGTTTTTATCAATTTTCATAACCTTTTTTTCAATTATTTGAAGTTTAGATTATTTCCACGTGTTCAGTATTGTAAATACTGCTGTGGTGAACAACTTTTTGAATATATTTTTAAAATGTATTTCATAGTACTCCCTGAGGAGAGTCTTTCAGTGCTACATTATCAAAAAGTTCTCTATTTTGCTCCTCTTACCACTCTCCTGCTACCTTAGAGTAGTGAAACTAAAAATAAAGCAAATAAGCATACACATAAAAAAATATAAAACCAACAAAACCTCCGAAAACCCACCCCTAATAATAATATATAAAAGCGATATCCTATTTTACCTTCTAATTCTTTGCTCATTAGGGACTTTGATCATGTTCTGTCTGTATGATTGTTGGACATCTGTATTTCCAATATGTGAAATTGCCTTTTAATTTTGGTTATAGGTTTTATTTTTTAAGTAATGAAACAAATTGCTCTTTTTTATGTGACTTTTTCCCATCTTTTCCTGTTAAACCTGGAGACCTCTTTCAATCTGCAGATTGAATAAATATTCATATTCCTTTGCTTTTTTGTGGCTTGGTTTTATACTTGATTTATCCTATCTCTTCACCCCATTATTAAAATAGCATATTCTGATTGTGGAAAATGGTAATGAAAAGAAGCCCACCTTCCAAAATATAGCCACTGTTGACATGTGCGCTTCTTTCTGCTCTTTTCCCACATACATATGTACAGATATGGGCAATTTTATCTTTATATAGCTGAAATTTACCACATACAATTCTGTATCCTGCTTTTTTAAATCTAAAATAAGGTTAACATGTTTTTCTATGTCATCGATGGTTCTTGGTTAGCAGTTGTAGTGACTGCACTACCCTTCCTATACTAATCTTTATTTTAATGAGAATTTTTATATTTTTGTATGCATTTTTAAAAATTGTGGTAAAATACATGTCACATAAAATTTACCATCTTAAACATTATTAAATGTGCAGTTAACTGGCAACAAGTACACACATATTATTGTGCTACTATTACCTCCATCTATCCACAGAACTCTTATCCTCTTGCCAAACTGAAACTCTGGTCCTATTAAACACTAACTTCCCATTCTTCTCCTCCCTCTAACACTTGCTCCCACCATTCTACTTTCTGTCCCTATGAGTTTGATTACCCTAGGAACCTCATATAAGTGGAGTCATGCAATATTTGTCTTTTTGTGTCTGGCTTATTTCAGTTAGAATAATATTGTTAAGGTTCATCCATGTTGTAGCATATTGCATAATTTTCTTCTTTTTAAAGGCTGATTTAATATTACATTGTATGGATATACCACATTTTGTTTATTCATCCCTTTAGGGACACTTGGTTTGTTTATACCTTTTGGCTATTGCAAATAATGCTGCTATGATCATGGCTATACAACTATCTCAGTGTCTGTTTTTAATTCTTCTGGGTTATACCTAGGCTATATTAATCTTTA